GTATTAAAGTAAAAGTAAAAGTACTGAGTAAAAGTGAGCAGTTAGATTTTACAAAATAACATTTATTGGGAGGTGACTTCAATAATCAGTGAGAGCAGCTTGACTTATTAAAACCAACAAATAAACAGAACTAAAGTCCTCCAGCTGAGCCAGAACTACAGCCTGGACCAGGTGAGGACCATCCTCCAGGTCTGACTCAGGACCAGGGTCTGAGACAGACCTGGACCATCCTCCAGGTCTGACTCAGGACCAGGGTCTGAGCTTTAACCCAGCTGAGAACCTCTTCACTGAGAGCTGGAGAACATGAGACCAACAGCAGAACAGCAGGTTCTGTTGGGTGGAACCTTCATGATGCCTCCATCTGAACTGGTTCCATCTGAACTGGTTCCATCTGAACTGGTTCCATTTGAAACTGGTTCCATCTGAACTGGTTCCATTTGAACTGGTTCCATCTAAACTGGTTCCATCTAAACTGGTTCCATCTAAACTGGTTCCATTTGAACTGGTTCCATCTAAACTGGTTCCATTTGAACTGGTTCCATCTGAACTGGTTCCATTTGAACTGGTTCCATCTAAACTGGTTCCATTTGAACTGGTTCCATCTAAACTGGTTCCATCTGAACTGGTTCCATGATCTGAACTGGTTCCATGATCTGAACTGGTTCCATTTGAACTGGTTCCATTTGAACTGGTTCCATCTGAACTGGTTCCATGATCTGAACTGGTTCCATGATCTGAACTGGTTCCATTTGAACTGGTTCCATCTAAACTGGTTCCATCTAAACTGGTTCCATCTAAACTGGTTCCATTTGAACTAGTTCCATCTAAACTGGTTCCATTTGAACTGGTTCCATCTGAACTGGTTCCATTTGAACTGGTTCCATCTAAACTGGTTCCATCTGTTCAATCTGAACTGGTTCCATTTAGAACTGGTTCCATCTAAACTGGTTCCATCTGTTCAATTTGAACTGGTTCCATTTGAAACTGGTTCCGTCTGAACTGGTTCCATTTAAAACTGGTTCCATCTAAACTGGTTCCATCTAAACTGGTTCCATCTGAACTGGTTCCATCTGTTCAATCTGAACTGGTTCCGTTTAGAACTGGTTCCATCTAAACTGGTTCCATCTGTTCAATTTGAACTGGTTCCATTTAAAACTGGTTCCATCTAAAACTGGCTCCATCTGAACTGGTTCCATCTAAACTGGTTCCATCTAAAACTGGTTCCATCTAAAACTGGTTCCATCTGTACTGGTTCCATCTACAACTGGCTCCATCTGAACTGGTTCCATCTAAACTGGTTCCATCTAAACTGGTTTAATCTAAACTGGTTTCATCTAAACTGGTTCCATCCAAACTGGTTCCATCCAAACTGGTTTCATCTGGACTGGTTCCATCTAAACTGGTTCCATCTAAACTGGCTCAGTCTGAAACTGGTTCCATATAAACTGGTTTCATCTGGACTGGTTCCATCTAAACTGGTTCCATCTAAACTGGTTCCATCTAAACTGGCTCAGTCTGAAACTGGTTCCATATAAACAGGTTCCATCTGAACTGATTTAATCTAAACTGGTTTAATCTAAACTGGTTCCATCTGAACAGGTGTGTAGCTGAGTTGACTGACAGCTCTGACTGAACATGATTGGTCAGTAATGTGGTCACATGACTCTGTTTACAGACGGCTGGTTTTAATTGTCAGACTCTGCTGAGATGAAGGTCACATCAGATCCCATCCTGGTTTAGTGGTTCAGGTCCACAGACCGGTTAGGACCGGCTGGTTGTTTGGGTTTAGTCGTTGGAGCAGAACGGACATGGAGACGTTAAATGTATCTGTCTGAGGACRAGTCGGGACCAACAGAACCGTTCTGACCAACATCATTTAACAAATGAAATAAATCAATAAAACTGAATATTTTCTGTTAAACTCTGAGCTGCTGACAAGGAGCTGAAATAGTTTAAGTTAAAGCCACAGCTAAACAGTAGCTAAATATTAAAACTAGCATAAAACAAAGAGTTGAAATGATCACCATACAGTAGTTTTTTTTATTTAAAGTGTTCTTGTTATATTTTGATTGTAAAAAAAGTAGAATTAATTTAAAGAGCATTCTTTTGTTTTGATTTTATTTCTATTTTTCCATCTTTTCCTTTTCAGCGTTTTCTGTGAAACTCTTTCAGTGCACAAGCCAGTTTTGTTTTAATGCCAGTTTTAATGAAGGTTGAGTTCTTGTCTTTTGAACTCAGTAATTTTTTCTCATTGAAGGTGTTTTCTTTATTTTGATTTTTTGTTTTATTAGCTTTTAGAGTCTCCATTACTTTTGAACTCATATTAGAATTTATTATTCTTATCCTAGATTTTGTGGTTTAATTTTTTGATTTTGATTTTTCTTCTTGTGGAATAAAATCTTCCTGAATGGGGTGGATAGTCATTTTAACTGATTTTAATAACTTTATTTCTTCAATTATTCTCAGGTTTATGAAGTTTTATGATCTTCATTTATCATTTGTTGTTTAACTTGTCTAAATCTGTTAACTTAGAAGTAAACGCCTACCGGCATCTTCTTTGATCTGCCTTGTCCTAATTTGCTTTACTTAAAGTTGTTGTTATTAAGTTAACACATTATCCAAGATAAGATTCTGATGGCACATAAGTGTGTGTACATGTCATCTAATTCACTGGGAGGCAGAACTTGTGTTCTGATACCTTGTCTTAGTTTTGTAATTTTAAGTTTTTAAAATTTCGACATGTTTTTGATGTTCATCGATTCTTCTGATGTGTGATGATGTTCTATTTGTCTTTAAGCTTTATTCCTGTTGTTTCTTGCATTATTTGAACATATAGCAGGTAAAATAATTATTGAACACGTCACCATTTTTCTCAGTAAATATATCACTAGAGGTGCTAATGACATGAAATTTTCACCAGATGTTGGTAACAACCCAAGTGATCCATACATACAAAGAAATCAAACCATAATTGTCCAGAAA